TTATTATTATTATTATTATTATTTTTTTTTTTTTGTTTGTCTCATTCTTTCTTTTCTTTTCTTTTCTTTCCTTTCTCTCTCTCTCTCTGTGTACGTGTGTGTCTCCGTTTCTTATTATTATTATTATTATTATTATTATTATTATTATTATTATTATTATTATTATTATTATTCTCTGGGAGGCAGATGCGGCGAGAGGATCTCCTACAGGCTTTGCTGGTGCGCTTTGTAGACCCTCAGCAGGAGGAACAGGACTGGATGCACCTTGCGGCGCTCTTCTACTCCCTCACAGGGCTGCTGCTCTCCGCCCAGCGGGTGGAACAGCTCTACTACCAGCACCTCCAGTCGCACGGTGGCAGGGCCGCGATGGAGATGGCATGCAAAGAGTACGAGCAGCAACTGGCAGCACGACTGCAACAACACATCGCAGGTGCGGAAAATCCGGCGTGTGGAATCGTACGAGGAGGAACCAGACGTCTGGGCGTTATCCCTTCAGCTCCACCGCGTGGAGGAGTTACAGCCGCGTTAGCTCCATCAACTAATGCGTGTCTCTTTCCATTGGGTGGTAGTGGTCTTGGGACTACATCATTAACAACAACACCAACAACGACAACTGCTTTTACTACTAATATTACTACTAACAACGCTGCTGCTGCTTCTACTACTGGTGTTACTGGTACTACTGGTACTGCTAGTAATGCTTCTGTTGTAGGTACTGGTGTTAACTCTAGCAGTAGCTTATGTGGTTCCTTAGCGAGCCTTTTCACATCAACACCTTTAGATAGTACTGGAGGGAACGATGATGGGACCTTTACTAGTGGGGTTGCATTTAACACGCTAACTGCTGAACAGCGTGAACGTTGGCGACGACTGCGACAAGAACCTATTAGTCCTGATATTCTTATTTCCCTGGTGCAGCGTTTTGCTTTAGTAGAAACTGCCGCTGTATTTTTGGCCCCTGTACACCCTTCAACAGTAATGGAATTTAATGGTGTTCGTTCAGGTTCCTACGCTACGGTTATTATGCATCCACTTTCTTTAGTGGGTATAAGAGGGCGTGTTTTGGCTTCACGACGAGATTATGAACTCCACAAATGTCAAATGCAAAAAACAGTTCCCTCAGTAGGTGTAATGACGCGGAAGCGTGGGAGAACAGCTTCAGCAGCGTCTACAACATCAGTTAATGAGGGAAGTGGGTCAACAAATATAACAACCGGTATCAATAACAGTGACGATGACAGAGGAACGATTCGCACAATACAGGAGCTTGAACAAGCTGTATGGCAAATTGCTGCTAACTGTGTCGTTTTTAATGCTCCTGAGTCTTGCTATCCATTTACAGCAAGACAGTTTGCGGTCTCGTGTACCGATATCATTGAAGAGTACTGTATGCAACGTGTTTTGAGTGGTTGAGAAATTCTTTTTTTTTTGATGTTAGTTTAACGTACCAATTTTATTGGTACTAAAGCTTGATTAGAGAAGAGATATTTATTTATTTATATATATTTATATTTATTTTTCTTTGCCTTATTTCTTTAAATAAGGGGTTGTATTGGGTAATTTTTCCCATGCATATATATATATATATATATATATATATAT